TGTCTACTGTAATTCATTCCCTGGTAAACTCCTGCTCAGATTTCTGTAATGCCGTCTACATGGGGCTTCTTGTAAAGCATATCCAGAAGCTTCAGCCAATGCAAAATGCAGCAATGCGGGCAGTTATGTGTGACCTTAGTATGGCACATTACACCTCTGCTCTGTGGGCTATATTGCTTGCCAATTTGCTTCTGGGTCCAAATCAAGGTGCTGCTTTTAAATCTTTAAATCCCTTCATGACATGTGGCCATCTGTGGGACCCTCTCCCATAGATGGGAACCCTATCCCACCAGATCTGAACTACGCACTTCTCTGCCATGGTGCCCACCTTATGGAATTTTCTCTCACCAGAACTGATACTCTCTTAACATTCCACAGCCCCCACAGAACATTACTATGGCTTCAGGCCTGAAGATTCTAGGGGACCAGGGAATTCTGGTGATGGCTATTATCTTCTCCTGTTTTTATGGTTTTTATACTTGACATAACTAAAATGATATATTTATTATTTTTATTAAATGTTTGTATCAGAGCCCAGAGTCACTTTCTTGTGAGATAGGTATCCATACAAATTTGACAAATAAACAGTATTACAGGTTCCAATTGAAGCATCACCAAATGGTATTCTTAAGCATTAACATTCCTCTTTCCTTCCTGCTTAATGAATACAGGCACTTAGAATGAAAACTGTACCATCGCTATGCTGGCTATAGACAGAACAGTTGCATATGGTATTATAACAACTTCTCTGAGTGAAAGACCATTTAAATAAATGCTGTTGATCTATCGCATTATACTAGTGTATCACTGTCTTTACTAATGGATTTCAAATTTATTCAGGTACAAATCACTATATATTATTCTGATTCAGGGAAAGCACAGTCCAATCAAGCTACATGCCCAATTTTTGAAGAAAAGTATTCTTTTCTCTTATTTGAAAGACCTCTAGCAGCCAGAAATACCTGTATGAAATGTAATTATCCACATACTTTTGAAGAAAGATATCAGGTAAAATAAGGCCACCAAATGAATTTGCTGTACTATAACCACTAAATATATTCTCAAGTGATAATTCATTTTTCAAGTCAATGCAATGAAGAAAGTAAGTAAATTATACAGCTCTGAAGTCATGTATCAAAGTATTGCAGTCAGTTGCTTTTCAAACGAAAAACAATAAACAAAATTGTGATTTGGCTTTGGGGAACTTCAAATGAAAGCTAAGTAATATAATTCAAAAACTGCAGTATACCTTTTTGAGAATTATGTCAGGAAACAATTCCTACTTTCACAATATTTGCTGTGATGAGAGGAGAAATATGTATTATAGTTTTGCAATCCAGTTGATTTTAAGATAACTGTCAGTGGGCTGGCCTTCAGTCAAACAAACAAATTAAACCTGAAATCTCAAACAATGTTACTACAAGGCAGATCCCACTGAACAAAATGAAATAAATGGTATGCATTACATCTGCAGGAGATCCCTCCTATAAATGTTAACAACTTGCTTTTAAATAGAATTTATACCACCAAAATCAAAGGACAAGATAGTATATATGTCATTGCTTAAAAATAAAATGTTTCTCCCAAAAGCATGCGATCTTACAGTTGGAATTTCAGTCCAGATTTGAAAAGACCTTAAGTCAGTCATAAACTTCCAATCTAATTTAATCTCTTTGCTGCAGATTCATCATTATCTCGAATGAATCTACATACAGATGGGAGGTTGAACAACTAGCCTTGTGGTGCAATCAGAATAATCTTGAACTAAATACACTCAAAACTGTAGAAATGGTGGTAGATTTTAGGAGAAGCCCTCCTATACAACCACCTCTTACAATACTAGATAACACAGTATCAACAGTAGAGACATTCAAGTTTCTAGGTTCTATCATATCTCAAGATTTAAAATGGATATCTAACATCAAAAACGTCATCGAAAAGCACAACAAAGAATGTTTTTTCTGCGCCAACTCAGAAAACTGATGATTCAGTTCTACAGAAGAATTATTGAGCCAGTGCACCTCTATAACTGTCTGGTTTGGCTCTGCAACCATACAAGACTTCAGTGGATAATTAGAACTGCAGAAAAAACAGTTGCTACCAACCTGCCTTCCATTGAGGACCTATATACTGCATGAATCAAAAAGGGCTGTGATTGTTTCAACTTCTACCCTCAAAACGACTCTATAGGGCACTGCACACCAGAACAACTAGACACAAGGACACTTTTTCCCCGAATGCCATCACTCTGCTAAACAACTAATTCCCACAACATTGTCATTATTTACTAAGACTGTATTACTATTACTCTTCTCATCCTTCCTAGTACCTATCTCTTCCCACTTATGACTATAACCGTGTTGCTTGTATCTTTACAATTTATATTGTTTTGTTTTCTAGTATGATTTGATTGCTTATTAGTAACCTATCACTATCACTAAGTGTTGTGTCTTATGATTCTTGATGAATGTATTTTATTTTTTCTTTATGTACAGAGGGTATATGCACCAAAAGACAAATTCCTTATATGTCCAATCATACTTGGCCAATAAAGAATTCTATTCTGTTCTATTCTATTCTACCATATATCTGAACCATTGCATATGCAAACTTGACATAACAAATGTAAAAATTAAAAGTGCGTAGGAAACAGAAAAAAATGTTTTGTTTTGAAACTAGAATACAATACCAAAAGTTCTGCCAAACTATTTCAATTGTTTGATTGTTGTGGAGTTTAGAGGTGAAATCAAATCTGAGTGGGTCAAGTGATGAAAGGCTGATATGCATTGCCCCATTCACCCTCCTTTCCCTTAGTAGCTTCCACTGTGGCTTACTCCAATGGCCCAACTACTACCGCACACCTTTCTGTGCCTCCCCTTCTCTACTTCCTTTTAGCTGCCTCCCAGATATTCCAGCACAGCATATTCCTCACATCCTACCTACATTCAATGTGTAGAATGCAGGCCAAGCCCTTTGAGTTTTCTTGATCTCTGAAATAAATGGAGAGTATACTATGGAATGTAGCCAACATTCCCTTGTATCCATGCAGGAGGGAACGATGGTGCTAGAATAAGTAGAGGGTGGACAGGTCAGCCAATGAGATATGTTGTGCTATAATATTAGTGGTGGCAACTGAGAGAGAAGCTAAAGGATGATTTGGGGAAGATTTTGGAATGAAGCACATGGATTAATGTACAGTAATGTATAGTAATAGTGAATGAGAGAACATTGGATGGATGGGAAAAAATCAATTAAATATGCTGTTCTCGGTGCATGGACTAAAATATGTGCCTTGATTCACTACAGATCACATGAAAACAGCTGTATAATGCAAATAATTATTTGTACACATATTTTACATATCCTAGTAAAAATGTAAACAGATGAAAAACTTCTCTGACATAGTCTTTGATTTGCAATTTTATTACTACCACAATTTGGACTAAACAAAAGAACATTTTTCCCATTTGACTTTCAACAGGAATGTGAATTGGCAGAAGTTTTGTTTTAAATCATCTATTTAGCAGGCAAAATTGTTTGTATATATTTTGGTTTGTTACATAGTTACATAAATATTTTTACACAAAAGGAAACTGACATCAGTAGACTTCCATTAATACATTAAGTATGTACCTTTCTGCCAATTACTATAAGCCATAAGTGAATATCTCCTTCAACTGGAATACCAAGTGAAAGTTATGATGTAAAAGTCAAATGGATGAGGTACAATATAAATGTAAATGAAATACTTCCCAAAAAATGTGTATTATACATTATAAAATACATTATAAAACCTACTCATCAACGATGTAAAAATATGGCTGAAAATCCAATCAGAAATCTTGTATTCTTGCTAAGCGTATGTCTATAGACATAATAGAATGGAGCCATAGAAAGGTTTGGTGGAAAAATTATTAAAAATTTCATCCTGGAATAGAAATGCTAATTATGTTAATAGTAGAACTTTTCAAGGTAATAAATTTGAACAGAAAATAGGTGGTCAATTCTAGCAATAGCTAATTTCTTATTGAAACAACTATGTTGATGCTTCTTCTTCACAATCAGCTTCAAATAATAAAGTCCTTTATTCAGAAAATAGAATGGCTTAATTAGAAGACCACAAAGCATTTCACAACTCCAGAATGCTTCACGTAATTTGTAGTTAGTTCCACTGTTGATCTTAAGAAAAAATATTAGCCTTCAGTAGACTGATATGTGAATTCTAAACCTTACAATAATTCAAGCATGGTGAGAAATATATTTAAAATCACTGCTTACAGTGGTACCTTGGTACTCAACTGCTTTAAAACTGGTCAAATTTGGCATTTTGATGTGAAAAATTTTTCCCAGTACTCCTTTGTTTGGTACTCGATGCACAAGGTAAAACTTGTTGACTCACTATATTATTCCTTATTGGGGGGAAATTGTTTGGTACTTGACATTTTTGCTACTCATCACACTTCCAGAACCAATTAATCACAAGTACCAAGGTACTATTGTACTTTTAAAAGTGGGGGGACTCTTCATTACTAACTAAACATCCATGAGAAAACCTGATTTTGAAAGATGGCATACAAATTTTGAAAATAAATAAAGTAAGTAAAGAAGGATGAAGTTCAAGACCTAAGCTCTTAATAATAACAGTTCCTTTGACTAATTTCTATAGATGATGCTAGCTGCTGAGAACTACAGATTGCCACAAGCTATAAATTAAATAAATAAACACAAATAAATCAAATAATTTTCCTATATTAAAAGATGCAACAAATCTTTAAAGCTGCTTCAACAGCTCAATCCTATATTCTCTTTTCTGACTCTAAAAGATTAAGCAGGTATTGCAGACTGTCAGTATAAGGTGCTAATTGGATATCTATAAATTAAACAGAAATGGTCATTTGCCAAAGAGACATTGCTGAATAACTAAACACTTTTATCCGAACATGTCATGTTCATTCCCAAAATGTTTCCCAATGAAATTATGTAGACTGAGCAATACTTACTACAACACCATTGTTTGTGGTAGTCTCACGGTATGTAAAATTGCAAACAGTCCAAGCTAAATAATATGTGGACATGAGTGGAGTCTGTGTAAAGTGATCCGTAACCCATCCATCTTCTTCAGAAACAGAAGTTTCCACTGGCATATTGGACAAAGATAAATAAGTTGCTTGATGTTTGATGCTGATTTTAAATGTGGCCTTGTAGATAGGCTCATCAAAGCAAGGAAAGGCTTTTCTGGCATGTGTAGGAGAAAACTGTGTAACTGCAAGAAACCTGGAAGGAAAAAAAATGTTTTTATTCAGAACTGGATGCAAAAAACAAAATATTGCAATGCAAAAGAGGCTAATTTGGACTAGTGGTTAAGACACTAGGCTAGAAACCAGAAGCATGTGAATTCTAATCCTGCCTTAGATCAGCTAAGTGACTTTAGGCCAGTTATTCACACTCTCTGCCCACAATATCAGACTCAGGAAATAATTGGTTGATTCCTGTCAGTCAACTCCCTGTCACACCCAATGGAGCAACACTTGGTTAATCAAAAAAATAAAAATAAAGATCAACTTGCAGGAAATTTGCAATGGAAAAAAAAAGAGCAACAGTCATTTGAAGCTTTGTCAACATTTTTTCCTTTTGGACTAAAATTATTTGGTTTTGAATGACCTTTCATTGTGTATAACTGGAATTATTATGGCCATATCTGTAACTATAGATTTTTATAAAAAACATGTTTTGTTGAACTTGAGAAAGTGTTTGAAAGAGCAGTAATATGCAACATAAAACCAAAATTACAGTTAACACTAGAGAAAATGTGTATCTGATAGTTCTATCAATATGGTTTTTAAAAGTCCTTGGGGTAGCTTACAAAGTGCTGCAAACTATAGCAGAATCTTAGACAGGAATAAATCCAGGAAAAATAAAAGCAAGTTAACTATACTTTACAATCGTATTAATGATATAATTACCTTTTGGGAACTCTATAAGAAAGTATTAATGCACTCTGACTTCATAATGCTGTATAGTGTTTTCTCACCTAAGAATACTTGATGGCTTCCATTCAGTGTTGACTTCTGACAACTGTCTGGACAAGCCCCTGCAGTTTACCTGGCAAGATTTCATTCATGGTTTACATTGTCTGCTTCCCAGAACGGGGAGTTTGTGATTGGCCCAAGGTCACCGAGTTGGCTTTGTGGTTAAGACGGGACTAGAACTCACCATCTTCTGGTTTCTAGCCTGATGCCATAACCACTATACCAAACTGGTTCTCATAAGAATACTGTGGAAACTGTTGTTTTTATAAGCAAAGTGTCAGTAATATTCCAAATTGAAGGTATTTTCCAGGTGCCTATCTTGCTCCATCAGTAGTAATTCCCTGATATTTTACTATGTGTAGAGTTTATCAAATAGACATATTAAGAAAAACTGTGTCAAATATATATAATCATTGGCTCAGTTCAAAGAGCATTATGTTACAGCAAATATTGGTCTACTTTTTCCCTCTTTATTTGCACATTTAAAAAAAGGACTGAAAACCTCTACTTTTGGTTTTGAATATATTGCAATTCCAAAATATAAAACAAACAGAAACAAGGATTGCTTTCAGAATCAGGTTTGTTAACTAAAATAAGACAGAACTTGCTAGGTTTGCTGTAATGGGATATTGCAATATTAATGGGATAAGTCAACATCGGAAGTAAAAGTAATTTAATTTTCAGACTTGCAGAGAAAAAGAGAATGGACAACATGGAATCCCATGGCCATACTATTGGTATAACATTTTGTTTGTACTTGGCTTTATCTAATTCCAATGGAAAAATACTTATTTAATGATGGAGGGGTGGTGAATGTTTAAAAGCTATTGAAAATAAATCCACATTCTATATGTTCACATACCCGCACATTACTGATATTGTAACAACTGCTAAGACACTGACTGCTTGTTTTACCGATTGAAGAATTTTAAACCTCCATTTTATTTCTGTATAATTTTTGTATTTCTTTTCATCCAGAAAGAAAAACTAACAAAACTCTGTATAATAGAACTGCAAAGCTGATGGAAGTCTTGATTTACGATTTCATAATTTAGGCAGAACATGATTTTAATTTATATCATGGTATATGTCTGACAATATTTTATATAGTCTTCAAAGACCAAATATTACTATATTTTTTTCAAATAAATGCATGTAACTTTGACAACTGAAACAGGCCTCTATTAAAATGACACTTTTAAAAGTATGGTAATTTCTACAATATTTAGATTTCTTTAATTTCACTGAAAATTCAAATTATTAGATGTTTAAATAAATACTAAATCCCACTTGTTTAATGCCTCCTTGTGCTCCCAGACTACTTTTGAAAAAAAATTCAACTTTCTTATATTTTCATTAATATTTTCCGGTATTTAGTTCTTGAACTTGGCATCTCAAAACCCTCATTAAAAAGAATTATCAAAATTCCTACAATAAAAGCTAGAATCATTACACTGACTTTTAAAAATGCATTGTGATAAGTTGAAACATATATGATAGTTGAAAATATACATTCTAAAAATGGTTAATGATATAATTATTTCAAATAAAAACATGTTCAAAGCTCACCCACCAGATTTGTGACAACTGGTTGTTCTATGTCATTCCAAACCACTAATGCCAGAATATCTGGAACAAAATTAATTGCAGGACTAAATTTTCAGTCAGAGTGGATGAACTAATGTGGGCATTCTTTAGAATGGTAATAAATATCAGAAGGACCAAATTGAAAAGTTGTTTTTTAAAAAAATATTTATACATGAAACTGATGTTGACCTGGCGTTAATTTCTTCCTCATGAAAGACTTACAAATGCCATTCTTAGCCCTCAAATACTAAATTATATGTGTGAGAGATCAATCATATCTTTGTATTAACTTCACCAAGCATAAATAATTATGTACTAACACATTGTGCTCTTATGTGCTGAATATAAATGAAATGCAGTAAAAGCTTATTTCTATATTCTGATACTTGTTGAAAGTAAAAATAAATTAGAGGATTAAAATGTATTCATAGCTTGTGGGCCTTATGGTGTACTTAATAACATGGTGGTTTTAATACATTAGAAAACATATCTTGACTATCAAGTCATTTATTAGAAAAATGCAAATAGAAGTTGTGATCCTGCATATGTTTTGCTTAAACTTCAAAATTTACACACATGTGATAGTTGATGACAGGATTATATCTCAAATGTGTAATTATTGGTATGAAAAACTTACAGGATGGCATCCTTGAATACAAATGACAGTAATTTGTACCTATTTTAATTCTACCTTTTCTATTAAAAAGGCAGACATGTTTCCTAAAACATCCTATCTAGAAATTGGTTTTGAAAAGTAACAAAGCTATTAGGATTGCTTTATTCTAATATATATAAAATCAGATATCCAGTTAATTTGTATATGATGTCCTTTAAAATGCTGTTATGTCACCAATATAGTACAATGACAACTAAAACTTTTATTGTAGTATTTTGATTTTACTTTAGACAATCAAATATTAAATTACCTCAATAGAAAAATTAGTATTTTTAGAGTCTCAGCAATATTTTAGAAATATTTATGGTATTTGCTGATATAGTCAAGAGATTAGCCCTAACTTCCTTTATTTATCTTTATCACTTTTACAAAAATATTAGATCAAATGAATAAATAAAGGAAATATAGGTCTGCTAAAGCCAATTATTAAATATAAACAAGTCAAAGGACATAACTGCTTGGGAGCAGTTCTTTATCATTAAGCTATTTTGCAAAGAATGTTGACCAATATTTTGTATGCTGATTACTAATTTTCTTAATTGCTATATAATCTCATGAAAACTCTGAAATCATTTTAATCATAGGTCATCCTGTTTCCAACAGTTATAGGGTTGCCAAACTTTCAGGCATATTTTTCCACAGAAATGTGTTCTAGATCATGATTGCCAAATAAATTTCTGATATTTCAAAAAAGAAAACATTAAACAATTCAATGTGGTCTATATTTCAAAAATACTTTACTTCTCTCTCAGAAAAATACAAAGTGCTTGATCCTCTCTATGTGAGATTAGGTATTGATCTGTTGACTTAAATAGAGCTGGACCAATTTACAGCAATTTAAAATTTTGTTTTGTGCAATTCTTTTGTAACTGAACAATTCTATGGCACTCTACTCAGAAGAAAATGCCACAGTATTCACTGAAGATTATTTGCAGATAGGTGGGTACAGGACTGCAACATAAATGTATAATCAGTAAATAACTATGTGAATAGATATCAAAAATATTGGTATTATTTATTCTGTGTGTACATATACTAAGACTTGTTTGTAATTGTTATATTATTGCATGTGCATTGATCACTTATAATTTTGCCACAGCCTTTCAATTACTTCTTTGCACTTGCCGTATTTTTTATTTTTAATCTTTTATTGTAATTTCTTGTTTTTAAAGTTGTATCTTCCAGAGTCCACTTCCAGAGAGTTTGGTGGCAAAACGTTTAAGAAATTAGTATTATATAGCTTAGAAAGAAAATTTGCCTCAAACTACCTTTTTCTGTGGAGATGCATAAGATGCATCAGTAAAAAGTCATTTATTAAAGCAATAAAAATAGAAGTCTGTGATCCTATATACTTGCTGCATGGAGTTTGGAGTAATATCATTTCAATGAACCATTATGCTGCAAAATCATTTCACACATTTTGAGGAAAGTTGTACTACTATCAGGTACAGAATGTTGGCATAATTAGTGTGAAGGCACTCTCACTTTTTGGATGGCAATGACTTAAGTAAACTAGTTGTTCAAGAGAAATTCTCAAAGATATGAGGTGTACAGAATAAGATTAAGGTTGGATTTTCAATGATGTTCTATACATCTAATACATTCTATATTTCTGATAACAAAGTTATCAGAAATTTAATTCTGCTTTCTTTAACCTAAAGCTTTCTTTAAGGAATTAGGGGTGGGCTTTGATCTTTGATTTGCTGAATAAAAAGCCTAAACCTGTTCTTAACAGACATGGTCTATAATGTGATTAAAAAGGGAAGTGAACTATTTAAGAGTTGTCAGTAAAGAAGCCCAAGATTTTCCTCTCAACTGCAGAGCATCCTTGAAATGGATGATCTAAAAAATCATAACAAGGAAAGGAGTACTTTTCTCTATTTGAAATTCTGAAACTTCTCTTTCATTGTTTCTGCTCTCTCAGCAAATCCATATTTACTATCAAACAGATCTAAACCACTATCCCTAATTGTAAAATATTTACACAATGTTGCTTCAAAATTCGTAACAAGTTTAGTACTAAAGTCCTTTGCAACTCACTTGAATATACAACAAAATATTTCCTCAATATACTGTAGCTAATAGATTCATGTACTGGTGGTACTCTTTAAAACTTTCTCAGTAAGAGAAGCTTCTTTAAGTTCTATAGAACTAAGTTCCTTTTATCCCAATTTTTATGCTTGTTGATGTAAACAAATGCATATGGAACAGTGCCAAGTTAAAAAGAATGTATCCTACAGCAACAGTAACCAATTTGCTGCCTTCAGATACTTTTTATTGGCAATTCAGTGAGCTGAAAAACCCACAACAGTGGGAGGATACCTAACCAGTTTGCCTATCCTGTCTTGGACCTTATGTTGAAGATGTAGGAAATAGTGGCTGGTCAAATACAGCTTTCTTACAGACTTGAAAAACACTTGCAAATTATTCTGTTAACATCCCAGGGTGAATTTCCGTTACAAGCTATGAGCAGTAAAATCCACTTCCCTACTAAGGACACAGTTAGAAAAAAACTAATGAAGTACAATGAATTGTTCCCCTTTTTCCTAGGATTGCCACACAGGTTTGCCTTTCTGTGAAATGAAACCAAGAATAAATGCAGGGAGACCCCATTGTGCAGACACAGGTATAGCAGAATAAAGTTACTTTGCTGTTATTATTGCTATAATATGAAGAGATCTCTCTTAACTGCATTCAGAATTAAAACATCATAAATGTTCTAAGACATTTCAGCCTTAAAATACTCTATACTTGCAGTATTCTGCTTCTTTTAGCTGGTTCTCTTTGAACAGGAAAGTTTATACACACTTTAAGTCAGTAAATAAGTTGCAAATAGAAGGAGTGTCCCAAACACCACATCACAATCACACTACAGAGTATTTAAAAATTAAAATAATTAAATAATAATTAAAAACTTAGTCTAAAACCTCTCTAAAACATAATATAGTAAGTTAGGTAGTTTTAAAATGCCACTATATACACAGGGCTAAATCACATATGCATTGTTTGATTCAAGACAATTATTGCCTTGGAAAAGAACCTGTATCAGATCCTGCCTAAGTAAAATGTGAACTTTGCTGGAGGTATAGGATAGAGTTTAAGCAAGGTCACATGAAAACTTTTGAAGAAGTTTAATCAAGTGGATTTAACTACAAACATATCAATTTCTGACATATAGGAGTTGTATTAAAGATGCTTATAAAGTCTTTTATGTTCTAAGATAAAATGTTAAATTAAAAAAAATAGTTTTGGGAGTTGCTGGGAAGTTAAAATTTTCGATTAACATGACTCTATATTAATAGAAATGGTGCCCATGTGCAGGAATTTTCAGGAAGCACTTGTTATTCCGACTTGACACAATTAAAAAAGAAGAAGTTAAAGAGGATAAGGGAAGGGCAAGCATGGAAAGGAGATCGATACCTTCTTTCCCCGTAGAGGACGTAAGAGCTGCGGAAAAATCCCAAAAGCTCGTTCTCGATCGGAGCGTTGTAGAGGATCTTAAGGTTGTAACTTCTCTGCTCCTCTAAGCTCCGATTGAGGACTATCACGAAGACCTGGGTCTGAGGGTAAAGGAAGAAGCCGGAGACATTCAAGGCACCAGCCAGCCGGTCCTCAGCCACGCGGACTGCTTCGATGTGCATGCGGTGGGCGTGGAGAACGATGTAACGGGTGGCGTTGAGACACTCGACTTGCACATTGACCTCGCCGCTGAAGGTGAAGTTCTCCATGAAGACGCTCAGCATCAGGTTGTAGTGGAGGGGGCGCAGGTGTCCGGGAAGGCGCAGCTGGGTCCAGGGCTGCTGCTCTCGCCGCCTCGGCCACTCTTCCTCCTCCTCCTCCCCTTCCCCTTCCCCTCTAGCAGCTTCCAACGCCACGGTCTCTTCCCTTGCACTTCCAGGGGTTTCCCCGGCGCTGTGCTGATTCAGGCGGGCACTTCCTGCGGGGGCTGCGGCGGCGGGTGCCGCCGGGACACTTCGGTTGCCCGCCCTGCCTCCTGGGCCGTCCGAAGCGGTGCCGCTGCTGCACTCCTCGATGCGCACGCTGAGCAGCACAGCGATCATGGTGACCACCAGCAGTGCCAGGATGGAGACGGCGAAGCCCATCACCAGGCGCTTGTGCACCGTTATGTGTCGCTCGGTGGTGCGGGGACGAGGGGCCGCCGCGTCTGCCCACTGGCCGGAGAGCCCCCTGCCGCCGTTCCTCAGAGCAGCGTCCTCCTCGATCATCCTGAGCACGAAGGATCAGCTCTTCTGGCGCTTCTCGGCCAGGAACATCAAAGTAGCGCCACCCTTGGCTCCTCCCGCAGGGTTGCCGCCGTTCCCCGCCGGGGCCAGGAACGCATCAGAGACCGCCGAGACACACACAGGGGAGCACCTAGCAAGGAAAAAGCCCTCCGCTTCTCTTCTGGCAGCCTCCCCGCCTCCTTCTGCCGCAGCCGCTGCGGGTGTCACTTTGCGAGGAATCCTTCGCACTCCCTAAGAGCAGCCCCGGCGGCCGAAGGAAAGCTCCCCGCGCCCCATGTGGGAGGAGGAGCCGCCGAGAGCGGATTGGGCAGCGAGGGCTTCAGGCGCCGGGCGTTCTCCTCTAGGCAGGTCTGGGCGCCGTTTCCCGGTCGGCGCTGGAAGGAGAAGCTCTCGTGCGAGTCCAGCGAAAAGAGCCAAGAGCTCCGGTTGGCCGCCTCCTCGCTCTCCACAGGCTACTTATGCGCTCCCTCAAACTCGCCGCGCCACAAACTCTCCTCCCACTCAGCCCCTCTTGACTTAAAGGGTCCGCTCTTTGCTTCGCCGGCGTCCATTTTTGCCTAGACGGCTCAGGCGCTCCCGAGAGAAAGAAGAACCCGAGGCGAAAGGGATCTTGGCACAGACGAACCAGGTGCTGACTTTTCAGCTCCGCGCAGCTTCGGTTTCCGGCCGCCGGCAGGCACCGTTGTGTATACTTCGGCGGCGGCGGCGGCGGCGGTTCTGTAAGCAGAGAGTCTGTAACCTGCGCGTCTCTAGGAGCGCCTGAAGCTTGACGGGGCTGCCTAGCACTTGGTGGTCCCGCGCCCTGTCGCCAGCTCGGAGTCCGTGGGTTGGAAAACAACCCCCGGACTCCCGAAGAGAACTCGTCGAGGGAAGAAATCGGCGCAGGTCGGTCGTGGCCGCCGCACCTGAACGGCGCAACTACATTCTTTTGGAAAGGTCTGGCGGACAGACTTGGGAAAGTCCCAGGAGGCAGAGCAGGGAGGGTAGTAGACGGAATCGGCGCGCGGCCGGCCGGCTGGTGTTCAGCTTCTCTCGCACGTTACAGAAGAAACGCGCGCGCGCACATCGTGCAGCCGCCGCCAATAAGGTCCAGGGAAACATCCGCGGCACTGACTCTTTTTGAGCGGGGCTGTGGGGGGGCACACATTACAGTGGTGTACTTGAAAATGCGTTCGTCGAGGGAGGTGCAGAGGGCGAGCAATGCTTGACACTAGTGGCCTCTCAGGGACAAACCTTGAACGAATTTGCCGGCGAACGCCACATCATAAATTTGCTCCGTCGCGAGATTTCCCCCCCACCTTTTATACACATATGTTCAGCATGCATACATACACATGCATGCATGTTCGGCATGAATACATACATGCCTACATATTTGGCATACATATACACACACATACATGTTCAGTGTGTTTGTATGTGCTGAACATGTATAAATACATTAGAATGACAGCCTGTTTTATAGATTAAGCCTATAGGATCCATTCAAAGCAATGCCTTTACCCAGGAATTAAATCTTTCCTATGGTACCTGAGGATTTGTTCACAAGTTTTGCCCTGAAAAATCAGTATCATGCAATAAGAAATTAGCTCCCATCCTAAGAGATGAAGAATTCTTCCTTGTATTTACCTTTTAACACTGACTCAGAAGCAGGCATGCCATGAAATGTAACTCTGCCAATATCTTTATGCTGCCAGAAACACAATTTGCACTGAGCCAGAATATATATTTTTATTACTACAAATACTTAGCAGAAATACTTTTCCTGCTATATAGACACATTGGAATGGGCAGAATTAAACCTTACTAGAATATATTAGGCCTCAAATATCACTCTAATCCATAACATGGTTTGTTTGCTATCGGCTTACCATGTTTAGTGAACAACATATTAGCAGTGTGGTATATAAACCCAACTTCATGCTTAGCGCATTGTGTGAATGGATATTGAAGTCTACTCACCAAAGCTTGAAACAATGGTTTATTTAATATGATATGTGAATCAGCCTATAAATTTAATGTTCACAAAATATCTGAAGTATGCCAGACAAGTGGCTTAATAACAGTAATAGTCCTCAATTGACAGGTATGTTCCTGTCCCTCGTGGTAGATTTATTTTCAGTGAGAACTTCAAGACTAGCACAGAGAACAATCTTGCATGCCCTGCTGGAAATCATAAGTGATATCCCAAGTCTATTGTCTTTAATGCTCTTTGTAAATGAATAAGCAGGATATAAAATAAATATTCTTTCTAGTCATTACATCTAGCATTGGAATCCACAAATATAAATGCTTAATAACAAAAAACAATATTTAAGGGAACTAGTACTATACTAATAAAATGTTGATGGTAGAAAGGCAATCAAATTACTTCATATCCCTTGTTCCTTTTTGGAAATATTAGTCCGCTTGAACTGGTTATTTAATTTATATGCAGGAGCTAGCTAAGTGTTTTTAAAGGTGAAAGTGAAATCTTCAAATTGACCTGTCAGATATGTTTTTTATTTCGATATCTATAACTGAGCAGCTGTCGGTGAAATGTGTAAGCAATTCACTACAGCAACCCCTGCAAATCTGAAATTATGACAAAGGTAATTTATGTCAGAAAGTACTTCTAGACAAATTCATGCTTCAGTAGTGCCCTGTTGCAGAATCAACCTTATATAATAAATATTGTTTTACTGTGATGAGAAAGAGCTTACATAGTAAATGTCAGTGGTCAGTTATTTTGGTCTAATAATGTGCAATTAGCTGGACTGAAAAAAATGTTTGCAAAAGTTTGCAAACCCAAAAGTAATGTCATGATAAACCCAATGCAAACCCAATCTTCAGTCATGATAAGCTGATATAGGCACTAAACACATACTTCCAAGTCCTTAATAATAGCTGCCAAAAAGTAAAAGTAGAAATGAAAGGGTAGGGAAAAAGACAAAGAAGGGAAGAAAAGTTCGGAGTCTGAGTCTGCAGAAGGATTTGTTAATGTTCTAAAATGCCTCTCTGGAAAACTGAACCAAAATGTATGAAGAAAATGCCTCTATTCTAATAGATGAAGAAAATGCTTCTTCGTAAAAAAAAGCAAAGTCTTGTGTTCTCTTTCGACACAAGATTTGTTTCCAAACTATTTTGTCATTCCTAGATCTATATTAATACTAGCTGTATTCCAGTTTCATATTTAGTAAAGACATTGTTTTTTATTAATTTTGTTACTATCCCCTCAATATACATTCTATTTTCAAAGATCTGATGTTATGCTTTTTTATCTGGAGGACCATTTATAGTCTAAAATAGATGCAGAAGCAACAGAGAGATGACTTCATACAACATAAATATAAATACATACAGTATATGTAAGCAAAGGCAAAAAAATATTTACATATTGTACGTTCATTGGGGTACAATAAGGAAAATAAAACAATACTCCAAGGGTGGTCAGGAAATGTTCATTTTGCAAGGTGTGTTAAAATATAAAATCTGAATTGTGACATTCTTGGAGGGAATTCTACACACAGGAATCAGCAAAGGGAATAGAATTGTTTTATAGAGCAGGCAAACCTTGTATGACTCAGGATAGTGAACCTGGATGGGGCAGGATGAAAGTAAGGTAAGGCATAGAGAACCCCTTGAAGCTTTGAAGATAAGGATAGAAAGCTTAACGAGGATGGATTGAAAGAGGAATGGTTTGAGAGATATGGTCAAGAATTGTAAGTAAAGTTATAAAAATATAGATGAATCAATACAAGTACAAAGAGAAGGATACTTCAAAGGATATTCATTGTTAGAGTTATTTGGGATAAATGTATATTTTTTAGTGAAAAAGCAAATCTTCAAAATTAAGTAGTTGGGCAAAGACGCAAATGGAATCCCAATGGTTCAAATTATGCATTAATGATTTGATTTATAAATTTATCTTATATCTATATGAATTTTATGAATTTTTAACCTTGTTTTATGGTCCAAACTTAGCCTAAAAGGTAAGCTAAATAATATTTTATGTATTGAAGTAACATTTAATATTTTACACAAGCTACAAAATTGTAGAATATATGGAAAAGAATATTCTGTAGTTGTTATTGTTTTATATTTCCATGCCACCTGACTCCCAGCAACTCTGGACATTTTGCTGTTCAAGTAATTAGTGGAAATCCATGGCCAGAATGGAAATTTCTGTGAAATTTGTTACGTTTGTTTGGATGCTTTCAAACATTTTATGACAGGTTTGCATTCTGGAAATAACCATCTGTGCAATATTTATGAACTACAGAAACTCATATGCAAAATTCCACAAAATATGTTTCAAGAACAGTTCAGTGTTAAGCTTCCATATTCTAACTACACGTATGTCTTGATAACTCTGTAATATAGACCCATTTGAAACATTTATATTCAGATTTTCTGTAGAAACTCTGCAAGAGAATTGCTACCCATGTTATGCAATTGATTGGGGCAGGGAGAATCTTTTCCAATTTTGCCATTATTTTTTAAAATGCCAAATGACCTATACATCTTATTTCTATACCAGTAGATGGAAGATGGCTATTATTTTCTCACAAAAGCTTAGATCTATTGATTTCATTTGGTCAAAGTCATCCTAGGAATTCAGAGTCAGGAACACAAATATAGTCTTATGATTCACCACTTTACTTTGACATTTTATCATTTTTGATAGAGGCAATAGTAACTATAAAGTAATTGAGAGAAATTTGCTGCATCCAATTAGTATGCCTTTTAACCACAATAATTAAATATGATCCACAAACTATTTCCTAGGAAGTGTACTAATACTATTAATGTAAATAAATATGATTAGAATACTTCTATTATAATTATGCCTTTCTTATGGGACCTGAGTTGGCCATTTTAAGAAAGAACTTCTGGGGAAGTTCAATCATAATCTGATCAAGCTATTCTCCTTTGTAAAGGAGGTTTCAACATATACCATTAGAAATATTATTTTGTGAATTTAGGATTGCAGCATGCATGGGAGAGGATCAGAACACTATGGGATGATTGTTTTACATT